TATATATATAATATTCTTTCACCCCATCAGACTATATAAAAATAAACCTACATATAATCCTCTTTGTCCTAAATGTCAGAATGACCCGGGATCCTTTTACCATATGATCTGGTCCTGCCCTGTGGTGGTAGATTACTGGCGGCAGATTGTTCAGTTTCTGCATGATGAGATGGGTTCTTCTGTAACCCTGGATCCTAAGATGTCTATTTTGGTGTTGGTGACACTGCTAACATTGATAAATATGCTAATATCTTTATTCAGGAAACTCTTTGTCGCCAGGAAACTGATAGCCAGATTATGGGTTCATGTACTGCCCCCCACTATTGCTCATTGTAAGCAGATACTAAATGTTGATCTATAAACATTGTGCCTCTGACAAGAAATTTCACAAAATATGAGATAGATGGACTGCAAGGTCCCCCACTTTTGATCCTTTGTAAATAGCAGACTGCACTGACGATTAGGTGCGAAGACACAATTTTCTTCGGTTTTCATTTTTTTCTTTTCCACTTTCCCCTCTCTGCTCCTTCCCCCTTTTCTTCTTCTGTTCCTTTTCTTCTTCTGTTCCTTTTCTTCTTCTGTTCCTTTTCTTCTTCTGTTCCTTTTCTTCTTCTGTTCCTTTTCTTCTTCTGTTCCTTTTCTTCTTCTGTTCCTTTTCTTCTTCTGTTCCTTTTCTTCTTCTGTTCCTTTTCTTCTTCTGTTCCTTTTCTTCATTCTTTTGTCCCTTGAACTGATATTTTGCTCTTTCTGCACTACGGTTCTGTTAAGCTCATTGAGATTGAATGTAAGACTGTTGGAGTTATATAGTGCCGCGGCATGTTTGTATGGGTGGGGACTTTAAAAAAAAAAATTTTTTTTAAATTCTTTTTTATGTGTAACTTTAATTTTTTTGGGGGGGAAACTTAAATTTTTTTCCCCCCACTAAACTTTATTGCTATCATATACGTGGGCTAATAAAAACCCCCTATGTGATGGCAAAATATGTGACAGGTCCTCTTTATGGAGACATCAGGGGTCTCCAAGACCACGAATGTCACCTAGGACCCCCCAAAAGAAGCTGATGAAGCACAGATCTGCTCCATCAGCTTCTTTCCAGCTTCTGAAGCTGGAGAGTTACACAAGAATGCGGAAGTGATGTAAAATACAACACTTCCGCATTCTTGCAGCGGAGAGGGGACTGGAGTGAGCTCGTGTACCGATCTCCCTCTGATCCCCTGTGACAGAGGCACCATGCTGATCCCGGGCTCGCACCGGGCACAGTGGAGCCCGGGACCAGCGGGACAACGACGGGGGGTGACCGCGAAGGAGGGGACACACCGATCCTTAACCCCATACAAGCGATCCGCCGCCTCTATAGCTGGGGGATCGCGTGTATGTTCACAGGCATCGCTGCCGGTTTTTAAATATCGGGCATTTCCTCGAGGGGGCGTGTCTGAACGGACATCTAAAGACGCCCGCTCAGATCTAGAGAGCTCCCGGCCGGCCGTTTTTATACAACGGCCGGCCCGGAGGTAGGTAAAAGGGAGCAAATCAGGGGTCTGTTTAGATCCCCAATATTTCCCCGAAGCCCATAAAAGTAAAAAATTAAAATATTTAATAAATATTAAGTATATAAAAAAGAAAGTTAAAATAAACATTTTCAGTTTCAGCCTGATATTTTTTTTTAATTTCGGTTTCATAATTTTTATTTCCGTGCACCTCTAATCTTGACAGATTTGCAAATAACATTTTTACTTTATAAATATAACGCCACATCCTAAAAACTGGCTTAGCTTTTCTACAATTCAATTTTTTTGTAAATATTGAGGGATATTTATCAACTTTACATTTTCTCAAATTGTAAGAACCAGATTTGGCTGTGAGTAGTCTAGGTATTGTCAACCTAAAATGCATTGTTACATAAGGTCCTGTTTTTAACACCCAAGTATGATTTAATGAGTTGCTGTTAATGTCAGTATATAAAATTATGTACATTTTGTATTCTTAGGGCACACTAGCTCAGGCTGTAAAGAAAGGAGAGTGGATTTTGCTGGATGAAATTAATTTGGCAGCTGCGGAAACTCTAGAGTGTTTGTGTGGTTTACTAGAAGGCTCATCAGGATCACTGGTTTTACTGGACAGAGGAGACACAGGTAACTGATTCATGAAAACATTTGCCAGCAATTAACGTATGGTGTAAGCCATTTTTAACTTATGTTTGTCGAACGTGGGCAGCCTGATTAATCTGAATGTACACACACATGATGCATATCATAAGAAGTCACATTTTAATAAAAGGATATGCAAAACTCCTGGTATTATTCTAGCATTTTATATATTGTAGCTCTACGTCACCACCACCCAATTTTAGGTGCGTAATCATACTTTTAACAGAATTTAAAGTTTAGTTTTGCTTATCAATCACACTTTTACATGAATTAGAAGGTAGATTATGTATAACAGAGTACTTTCTAATTATGCCTGACTATGGACATATAAACAGTTTTTTTGGTTTCAAAGGAGGTAGGGCTGCAACAACTAATCGGCTTCCGATCAGTTGGCCTTGTTCACAGCTCCACATGCTGTGCGCCCCACCTCCTCCCCACCTAACGCATGCCGCTGCCAGACCTGCCCACATCCACGCTCCACACGCCGCACATCCTCCCCGCCTCACACTCACCGCCCACCCACATCCACGATCGGCACAGGGACGCGGGGAGATGTAGTAAGGAGGAGCAGGTGTGGGGTGATGACAGCCGCCGAAAGACAGGTCCGATCTCAGAAGCAAGTTGCTGGAAGACTGCTCAGGTAAGCCTGCACTTTTCCACACGTGGTGCTCTAATGTATTGCTGGGATTTGTATTCCTCTATAGCTGATGGCACATTGTGCTGTATATTATACATAGGAATACAAATCCCAGCAATACATTATACACTGTATGTATAATGTATTGCTGGGATTTGTTGTACTCTATAGCTGGTGATATTCTGCTTTGCGCTGTATAGAAGACTACAAATCCCAGCAACAATACATTATACAGTGGTGCAAAGCTGAATACAACCAGCTATAGAGGACTACAAAACCCAGCAATAGTGCATTATACAGCGCAATGCAGAATTCCGCCAGCTATTGTGTACTATTGCAGGGATTTGTTGTATTCCCCTATAGCTGGTGGTATTCTGCTGTATAATGTACTATTGCTGGGTTTTGTTGTCCTCCATAGCCTGTGCCATTCTGCATTCATTGCTGTATTATTTTACACTTCACTATATTGCACACCACACAATCTTTTATTCTTCCACCGCTCCAAGCTCCTGTGATGGACTACAACCTCAATATTCGATTAACCGATTAATCGAACCTAATCGGCTAACCGATTTTGAAAATAATCGTTAGCTGCCGCTCTAAAAGGACAGGCAAAGCAACACAGGAAGGAGTAGTTTAAGGCATGTAGATATACTCAACTGTGTAAAACCTTTGGAGATTCTAAGCACTACTTTGTAGCAGTTAGGTAAAAGAGCAATTAAAAATGTCCCTCGCCATTTCTTTCATTGATATTTTTCAAAACAAATTTGGTTCGGATATATCATTTAAATTGACTGTGCATAACTATGCTTCTAAACACCAAAACTAAGATGGTGGTTGAACAGTACTTTGATGGATACTAGCCAAAAATTGCCTTATGTCATTTTAGTGCACTTTGGTTTCCATAACAGTACTGTTCACATCTCGCTAATCACTGCATACAAAATGTTTGGCGTGTTCACTCATTGTGCTATAAAGACAGTTCTGTAAGAACCATATTGACACTGGTAAGAATAGCTGTAGATCTTGGATGAACCACAGAGAAACGGAGATCATAGTAAACCAGTCTAATGGGGAGTGTAGTGGCATGTCCGATAATACAGAACTAATCCCAACTCCATGTCAAACAAGTGTTCTGTATATTTCAATTGCACCTGTATCCAGGCTTTGGACTTGAAAGTATTTGCGTAGTCTAAACAAGGAGTAAAAGGGCTTTAAAACATATCTTGCTGTCCTCTGTAGCTGCAGGTTCTTTAGATTAAAATATCCCCAAATATCAGAGACTCTGAAGGCTGCCAAGTTTGTGCTTGCTGTAGTCTGGGTACAGGTGCGCTTAAAATGTGCTAATGTCCGAATATCTGAATTACCATGATTATGTAGACCATATAGTGGCGGTAGCAACTCTGCTTTATCATTATAAGACAGGTATTTAGCGGTAGCATGTTTTTAAAAATGATAACCGGTGCAAGGTCCTCTACATTCACACACGTTTATACACAATATTTTGAATTCTAGCATATTAAAACCAATAATGAGAATTCTTTCTGTTTTTTTTTTTTTTTGTATACACAGATCCCCTGGTACGTCATCCAGATTTTCGATTATTTGCTTGCATGAACCCTGCTACCGATGTGGGAAAGAGAAACCTACCACCTGGAATAAGAAATCGGTAAATTTATCTGTAATGTTATATTGCTGAATACTCAGCTAAGTTTACATTTTATACAATGTTACACCCATATTCATGCTGCATGCCCATATTCTAGATAGGCAGAGCCAGCTGTCAGTCACGCAGTTGGGCGGATCCAGACATAATTGTCGGGATCCGCTTTAGCTGCGGCGTCTCGGTATACCGCAAGCAGCAGCTCACGGTAAACTGCGGCGCCTCAGTATACTGCGAGCTACAGCTCGCGGTAAACTGAGGCTAGGGTGACGGGAGGACGCTAGTTTGTGTCCTCCCGTTACCCTACGGAGAACTATGGGGAAAAGCCTTAACCCCATAGTTCTCCTTTAAAGCTTGAGTATGTGAAGAACATCTGTTGTAATATACCAAAATTTCGTTGGTTAGGAGTAGGGATGTACCGATACTAGTATCGGTGCCGATACCGAGTATTTGGGCGAGTACTCATACTCGCCCAAATGCTCCAATACCTTTCCCGATACTAGAACTTCCGGTCAGAGGAAAATTTCCTCTGACCGGTAGTGCCGCGAAGAAAGGTGGAGTCGGGAAGCTGGCTCCATGCTGTTTGGCCGGCTCGATGCTGATTGGACGGAAAGCTGGCTTCCCAGCCAATCAGTGTCGAGGCGGGCAAACAAATCTTATAGTATAGCGACCCCCCCACCCTGCAGGCACCTAATTCCCCTCCCGTAGATCCTTAGCATTCTTTAACGTACCAGTCCCTCGGCCAGATCTGCTAACTCCTGTATGCACACTGCACAGCGCTCACGTGATCGGCCCTCAACCTGCTACTGCGCATGCACAGGATTTCTGAATGAGAGCGCTGGGCTGTCTGCACATTCACAGTAGCAGGCTGAGCGTCGATCATGTGGGTGCTGTACACAGGAGACGTGGGGAGATCTTGCAGAGCGCTGGCCGAGGGACTGGTATGTGTAATGAATGCTGCTAAGGATCTATGTGAGGGGAATTGGGTGCCGGGTCGTGTCGCCATATTGTCAGATCTGTTTGCCTCGATGCCGATTGGCTGGGAAGCCGGCTTCCCGGCCAAACAGAATGTAGTCTGCTTCTCGGGCAATCAAGAAGCCTTCCTGGCTTCCTGATTGCCCGGGAAGACGGCTCTATGCTACCGGAAGTACTGGTATCGGTACTCTGTATCGACGAGTACCGAAATATAAGTATCGGTACTTGTACTTGATACTGAAAAACTGATATCTGTGCATCCCTAGTGATGAGTGTGTGACTGTTTTCATGAATATCCAGAAACGGAATAATGACTTCAATGTGCCTTCTCTGCCTTACGATCATTGTAAGCTGGAAGCTATTCTATATGTGGTTTCTTCCCCACCATTATTATTTATTATTATTATTATTATTATCATCATACAGGATTTATATAGCGCCAACAGTTTGCGCAGCACTTTACAATATAGGGAAGACATTACAATTCAAGACAAGATGGTAAGGAGTGCCCTGCCCGTGAGGGCTTACCATTACCTCTTGTATCTTGCTGCTAGTACTAGGAATGATGTCATAAAAGTCTTCACTCCTCCACTGATGGCTCTTACGGCAGCTGACAAGAGTAGAGGTGGTACTGGAGCTGAGCAGTATGAAACAAAATGTCTACATACAACCAAGAAACTTGAAACTAGGATTTACATTATGTCCTATCTCGGTCCAGGAATTAGCTGCTGATTCTAGTACCTGAACAAAGATTGCCCCAGCTTTGTGGGGAGAATGGAAGATAAAGGTGTTATAAGGAGTGCTGGGAATATATTGCACAATAAGGAGTGCTGTAATCTATGAGAGTTAATTAATACATGTATTGCAATTACAAACGCTGCGCTTAACATGAAAAATATCTCCAGTCAAGGTCCTATTTATTGATGGCAAATCAGACCAGTGGTAGAAATGTAAAAGATTATATTTGCCTGGAGCTGTTAAAAAGCAAAGGTGTGTTCGATCTTCATCATTATTAAAGAATGCTTAACATGCTTGGGTACTGGACTCTCCTAAAAATGCATAAATACTGGATTTATCATGCTCTCCCAAAACACTTATGTTTAACATTCTGTGTTATACATTGTGAGACTTTTGATCATTGTCTCTAATTTGCCATTAAATGTCTTTACGTTTCAGGTTCACTGAGCTTTATGTGGAAGAACTCGAAAATGAGAATGATTTACAGATACTAATCACTGATTATTTGAAAGGACTCAATGTAAATAAGACAGTTGTCCAAGGAATTATCAGGTAAACAAAGGATGTGGTTGTCACTTGTAATTAGCCATCGTACTGTAAATAGATTTTTCTTGATTTCCCTGTATATTTCACTTTTAACAAGACCAAGTACGAGTACCAATAAATTTTCTTAAGTTCACAACAATACCAATTACAAGGGCTGCAGCTAACTATTATTTTCATAATCGATTAGTTAGCCAATTATTAACTTTGATTTAAATGGATAAAATACAAATAATACTATCATTTATTTAAAATAAAGTACACAAATGCAGCGTTAGACATAGTTTACTTCAGAATAAAACAATATGCACATATTTCGAAATCGCACTGCACTGGAACGCAGGGCATTGCAGTACCGTGCATTCCAGTGCGGATGGGAGGTGCATTTGAGATATTGCACCCGCCTGCTGTCAATCAGCAGACGAGGGACCTGAAGGAGAAAGTTCTTCATCGGGTCTTCCTCTGCTGATTGAAAGCAAGCAGTAGGCTGGTGCAATAGCCAGCCAGCTATTGCATTTTAAGATATCCAATAGCAGGCTGGGTATGGCTCGCAGCCTGTAGATGCAGAGGAAGCGCGGGGCGGAGGCGACACTGGGAGGCAGTGCAGGGCAGCGGGGGGAATGCAGTCACAGCAATCTCTCCTCCCCGCTGGTGCCGGCTGCAGTGGTCTGTGTTCCTGCTGCCTCTGCCGATACAGGCGGGGATTGAAAGGGACAGACAGCTGCAGCCAGCACCAGCGGGGAGGAGAAAGGAGGAGCTGCGGCAACTAATAAAACAACTAATTGATCGATGCCAACGCTTCGCTTCGATTATAATCGATTAGTTGTTGCAGCCCTACCAATTACTGATACTACTACTACTACTATTTTATTTTTTTTGGTCACGTGACAGTTTTTCTAAAACAACACAGACTAATGATTTTAGGACAGTGGTGGAGCGCCAGGGCCCAGTCACAGCGGCAACCCTGGTAGTTCTGCCACTCACTCCAAGCTGTACAGGGACTAAAAATCCCAGCAATACATGATACAGCAGTGCAGAATAATATGAAGCTACATACTGTGTTGCTCACCAGGGCTGTGCAGCATCTTAAGAGGCTGTGTGGTTGTCTGACCAGGGCTGTTACGGGGCCTCAGGAGGCTATGCAGGGTTACAGCAGCTGCTTCTGTTTACAAATGTAAAGGGCCAATATCGACCTTTTAGTATTGGGGCATTTTCATGAGTACAAGTACTTGCGAAAATGCCCAGTATCGGCACCGATACTGGTTTTGGTCCATTCCTTCTTCTAACTAAAGACTTTGATCAGTTGACAGCATGCAGTAGAAATGGACAATTGGGCTAGCTTATTTTTAGTTGCTAGATATTTTTATAGGTTATATTTTTTTAAACTTTAAAAAGTTTGTGTATGTATAAGCATTTGATGTTATAATGCGAAATTATACAATTATTTTTTTTTAATCCAGTTCAAAGTTGGGCATATATTAAAGCAGATTATGCTCATAAGGTTTTAAATGTTTATGGTACTGTAAAATGTGGAACATGTCAATTTTGGTTCTTTACATACCAGAACTCAAATCTATTTGTAATCCAGCCAGCCTTGTCAAGAAAGGAAAAGGGTATGGTCCATACTGCAGGAGCCTATAGCAAAACCACATTTGTTGGTTGCGCTTGATGAAAGCAAGCTATGCATTTACTGTGTGTCAAACCTAACCCTTGCCTGAATTTGCTTTACTGTGCTAGCCAGCTTGTTCTATAACAAAGCATTCTATAAGGTGTATTTTTGCTGCTCTTACGTGTTAGCTTTGTAGTTTCAGTTCTGATTTTGATTTTTTCCCCTCCTTTTTTAAGCTTTTACTTGACCTTACGAAAGAAGGCCAATATGGAACTTGTGGACGGCACGGGCCACAGACCTCACTATAGTTTACGTACTCTATGCAGAGCTCTAAGATACTGTGCTTCAAATCCATGTAGCAACATCCAGCGTTCTTTATATGAGGTAAACCTAAGAACTTGAAGCATCTTTTTAACTTTTTGTTCTCTTTTATTCATTGTATGTTAATTCCAGTTTATAGTTTTTGGTAAATTTAAGTGAAGTCATTGTATCATCTACTTGCTAAATGTTGTCTTTTACAATTTATAGGGGGGAACAATTGTTTTGACTCTATGGGAGTATGCCACCGTACGTTCACCTGAACTGCACATGCGTGCTGGTGCAGATGTCCGTACTCGTACGCAGACAGGATGGAGCCTGTCTGTGTCCGAGCACGGACACCCGCACAGATGTGTACGGGCCAACTCTAAGCAGTGTGAATGAGGCCTTAGTGTTGCAGGGAAGCCGGCGTCTCAGGTGGGCTGTAAAGGATCTCTGGTGGGCACTGCAGGATGTCAGGCTGAGACCACCATAGACCCTGCACTGCCCATCTGAATCCCTGCAAACCCCACCAGAGACCGCCGTCCCGGGCCGCGTCTCCCACGGTGCCATCTTGTCTTCCTGCAGCCGCCGAAGCTTCTTGAAACGGCACTGCAGCCTCCGACGGCCGCGCGGCTTCTCCCCCGGCCACGCCTCCTCGTACACCTGGCAGCTCCCTGCCAGGCCCCCACTAGCAGCCACCTGATTAGGCAGCCGAGGCTGCCTGATCTTGTGCGCCCATCCCCAGCTTTCCTCTTTGCAGTGGGGCGAAAAATGTTTGTGCTGTCCTTGGAAATAGAAATGTGTGAGGGAACGTGTACCTGACCCTAACCATGGAAATTGGCTAATTTTCATTTATTTTTTAACTTTTGGTTATTTAGAAGCTAGTTGGAGCCTTTTGGATGATATGCTAACACCAACGCTCCATTGTCCAGTGTCATAGGAGTCTGCCAGACCGTTACTGGCAAATTTGTGAGCAGAATCTGAACACTTGAGTCTCTCCTGATTCCATGAGCAGATGATGTACATAAGACAGTTAACTTAATTTGCCATTTAAATTATATCAAGTGCAACACCAACAGAACCTAATGAATCAACCTATGAATAATATACTTTGTAAAAAGTGGCGTAATTAACCCCAGTCGCAACCAGTGGATACATAATACATCACTGACAGTGGGCCCGTTTAAACAGTTAAGCTGCCGGCGACTCTGTTTACATTTGTTGATCTGGCTGACAATAAAAGTGATTCTGGCATCTCAGCTGTCACCAGATTGCTTCTACAGGCCAGTAAACTGTAAACGGGCTTTTAAGCCCCCCCATGTGATGGCAATTAAAGTAAAAAAAAAAAAGTTTTTAAAAATATTAAATTAAATAAATGTAAAAAAAATGTTCAAGGCCCCCTCCAGCATGCGCGTCTAAACGTAAAGACACGTTGGGTGCGCCTACGTACGAAAACGACGATGGCGCTACACATGTTGGGTATCGTCTCGCACACCAGAGTAAGATCAATAATTCTAGGACCTATATTTATGCGTATATCTAAACTGATGACCTGTAGAGGCTTTTAAAGCATGGTCTATGGACCTTTTGGGGTAGTGGAATGTGTTGCCATTTTACAGACACACACAATTTTTTACCTTGGCATGTTGGGTATCTATTTGTAACCTCATCTTTTTATATTTTATTAAAAAAAGGTACCGTATATACTCGAGTATAAGCCGGGATTTTCAGCCCATTTTTTTATCCCACCCTCGGCCTTTATTCGAGTCAATACTTTTTCCCAGTTTTTTGTGGTAAAATTAGGTACCTCGACTTATATTCGGGGTGGCTTATACTCGAGTATATACGGTTAATTGTGATTTGGTGCACTAAATTCAACTAGTTTTATTTTTCTCTACATTTTTGGGTTTGATAATAAGTTGTGCTAATATCGTGCAACATAACAATTTGCAACTGCCTCCATTTTATTTTACAGGGTCTTGGCTTTCAGAAAATATATAATATTTGGGAGTTTGAAGTAATTTTCAAGCCTAAAATGTGGATCTTAACATGGGTGCAAAAAACAAAAAAAGCCTCGGTCGTGAAGGGGTTAAAAATGAATAATGGGTTGCCACAGGGGATTTGTGTTTAGTCTTTCACACCAATGGTTTTCTTGTTTCTGTACAATCAGTCACCTTGTCTGTCCCACACATTTTATAGGTTACAGCAGTGCAGACTCAAAATCATAGATGTTAATGAACAATCCCAGTACAAACCACCAAGTGAGGACTAAAGACAATACATTTATCAGTCCTAGAAGAGCTTCCACAACCGATTCACCCGCTATATGCTGACAGCGCAGAGCCGCTCTGGAGCTGGGAACGTCCACCCCACTGTCTGACAGCAGACTCTGCTCGCTCCCTCCCCTTTCTGTCCCTCCAGTCAGCACTGGAGGAACAGAAAGGGGAGGGGGGAATCCGTGTGTGAAGCGGTGACTGACGGTCACAGCTCTTTGCAGGGAGAAGAGTGGGAACTGAGCGATCAGCGGTGTGCGATACTGCAGGCTCTAACTATTGGGATGAATGTATTTCACAAATCCTATATTTCTCCTTTAAGGTCTGTGCTCCTAGTTTGAACTAGAGGTGTGCCTGATTTTTGCTTCAGTTGCTCACAGCTGACTGGATCTGTGTAATCTGTTATTTTCCTGGGCTGGAAATATTCATATTTTTTTATTTGTAGTAATTGAATTTTGTGATCTGTGTACTTGATCTTGTTTTATCTATTTGATTGGATTCTTTGTTTTATTTTAGGGATTTTGCCTCTCCTTCCTTACTCAGCTTGACAGGGCATCTCACTCAATAGTTCAGGGCTTAATATGCCGTCATATTATACAGTCTGGCAACATCAAAGGCCTTCTGAAGCAGGTACTTTTATTCTTTATAATAAAAACTCAATGGTATTTGCTAGATTGTTCTAATTTTACTTTACCTATGTATATTATGATCTGGTCAAGCAGTTCTGTTTTAATACGGTCTCATATCATGCTTAATGACTGTGTATGTCTTACATTTTTGATGCAATGTGATCATATGATAAACTGTGATAGTTTGAGGAAAAAGAACACATTCAATGGAAAAAAGTATTTCAAATATTGATCTTCTGAAAGAGTAGCTTTGCTTAATTCTTTCTTCACAGCCTCTCCCTGAGCCACATGGCGGACGCTTTGTTCAGATCGAAGGCTACTGGATTCCTGTGGGTGAAAAGAACCCAGCAATAGATGAAAGTTACATCCTAACCCCCTCAGTAAAGCTCAATCTACGAGATCTTGTTAGAGTTGTCTCTGCGGGGTATGTAGACAACATCTCATCCTGTTTTGTATATACTTTCGGAAATAAGAAACTGTCATGTTACTAATGGACTGAACCTGAGGTTTTATCTAAAGTTTCTCTGAGCGGTTTATCTGTGGCTCCCAGTGATTAATGGTAAAAATATTTAAAGCTTGTAGGTTTTATAGGCAGGCAAATGCCTTATGGGAAGGATGGGTGGTAAAACATTTACCCTTGCTTGGATGAGTTCAGGTTGAGACCAAAGGTAAGTTTCTTTCACTGCTTCCAAATTAGCTGCAGCCAGTGAATTGCCTTCTCAAAGATGCATGTAGGCAAAGGGGTAGTACGCTGTGACGTCCTTAATCTTATATGGCGACATGGCTATATTTAGTCAATGACATTGACCTAATAAGGTCAGTGATGTTGGCACCAGCATTCATCCCGTTTGGTTTTTGTGCAGCTGTTGGGGTGGATGGTTCCTTGTCCTTTCTGGGTTCGGAGGAGCTTCAAACCGAAGCTCATCCCTAGTCCTAAACCTGCAGTCATCTTTCCTTTTTTGCGAACCGTTGATTTGGTGCATGTGCTGTAAAAGTTTTTTTATAATCACCATAATGATAAAGTAAAAAACCTGATTGGCAAGTGCTGCTTTTATTTGTTATCTTTTTTTTTTTTTAATCAGGCCACATGTGGCCATCCTTACAATGACCACTTTTTATGTTAAAGGAATCATCCAGTCCTTCTACAAGGAGAAACATCTGTTGGAAAAACAAGTTTGATTCGCTGGTTGGCCTGTGCTAGCGGGAATCATTGTGTGAGGATTAACAACCATGAACATACAGACATCCAAGAGTACATTGGCTGCTATACCTCTGATGCTTCCGGAAAACTTGTATTTCAGGAAGGTAAACCTTTTTATCCTGTGCCTGTCTGTCCCTTTTTTACTCCTTCCCAACCGATGATGGTCACTAAGGGGTTAATATAGGCAGTAAAATCACCAGGACTTTACTAGTCAAGAGGTTGCAGATCACTGTGGCAAAAATGTTTAGTGGACATTTTCTAAAATGATGACTCCTTGAGTCAAACATTCAGGAATGTCCAGGGAAACTTCTGATCTAACCTTTTACATTCCTAATTTCTTTCTTTCAGGTGTTCTGATTGACGCAATGAGAAAAGGTTACTGGATCATATTGGACGAGCTGAACTTGGCTCCAACAGATGTGCTCGAAGCTCTCAACAGATTGCTGGATGACAACAGAGAACTGTTCATTACTGAAACTCAAGAAGTGGTTAAAGCACATCCACGGTTCATGCTTTTTGCCACACAGAATCCACCCGGAATTTATGGTGGCAGAAAGGTTGGATTTTTTTCTTTTAATATGTGAACATTCCATAATCTTAAAAAAAAGACAAAGTTGATGGGATTAGTGAGAAAAGACAAAAATGTTTTTATACTTTAACAGGTGTTATCAAGGGCTTTTCGTAATCGATTTGTGGAACTGCATTATGACGAACTTCCAAGTGCAGACCTGGAAACAATTTTGCATAAGCGCTGCAGCCTGCCACCATCTTATTGTAATAAACTAGTTGCTGTTATGCTAGAGTTACAGGTAATTTCATTTTGTAATTTATCATGGTATTTAATGTGATCAAAAAAACGTTTTAAACACTTGTTGATTTAATATATCCTGACTTGTATCTCAGTCTCTTAGAAGAGGATCCTCAGTGTTTGCAGGAAAGCATGGTTTTATTACACTTCGTGATCTCTTCCGCTGGGCTGAGAGGTACCGCCTATCTCCGCAAACAAATCATGAATATGACTGGCTTCAGCACTTGGCAAATGATGGTATAAATTAATTTCCTTGTTCTAAAATGTAAAATGCGATGGTAAAAGTTGCAAAACTCAGCGTGCTTCCTTCTCTAACTAGGTTTTATGCTACTGGCTGGCCGAGTAAGGAAGCCGGAAGAGGAAGATGTTATATTAAAAGTCCTGAAAAAGTGCTTCAGGAAAGAGGTGGTGCCAGAAGCCCTCTTCTCCACAGAAAATGTCCAAAAGCAATTAGGTGAGTATATGCTTTATGTGCTAAAATGCACTAATGACACTTGATTCTGATATGGATCTTCTGTTCTCCTTTTTTTATTATGCTAACAGAGTAATACATGCACTGCCATTGCTAATCGCAGATTGTCATTACTACACATTTCTAAAGGTATTTTTGTTATTTTGAAGATATGGGTAACATTTTTCTTTTGCAACCTCTTCACTGCAAGGGTTAAAAGCACATTTTTTCTATGTGCAAAAAAAGTTACCCAAAACGCTGAGCCGGTTGCCTGCTTCTCCGGTCACTGAAGCCTTTCTTCCTGTGCTCCAGTATTGGAATGTTCCTTGGTGCCCTCACATCTTTACACTGTGTATAAAAACATGATGATTTACGTGACCTTAGACCACTGCAGCAGAGGAGGAGAGAGGCTCCAGGGATCCGGAGTAAGAGCAAGCCAGCTCAGAGGATCAGGTGAGTATAACTTTTTTTTGACAAGAACAAGCAGGTAACCCTTGCAGTGTGGAAGTAGCTTCACTGCAAGGGTTAATAAAAATTCTGTCCAGAGTTCTGCTTTAAGCTACTGACCTAAAACTAGTTTGATAAGAATAATACTTTCAATGACTCAAAGTATTAGCCATGCAGCCAGCATTCTTTAGAAGACGTACGCAGTGTTGGCTCCCACATTTCTTTGCACTTGAAATGAAGGTTAAACTTTACTAAATTGCTCTTGGCTATGTGTGTGTAGAATTCATTACACATGTGAACACTCTACAGTCTATCATACTGATATTCTTTGTGAAAACTTAAATTCCCTCTTTCAGTCAGTTAATTTAAACATTACTGGAAAAAAATGCCTTAGAATTAAGGGGCAAGTTTGTAACAAATTTGTATATTTATGCTTTGTGACGGACTGGCTGTCATAGTTCTAAGGTAATACATTACATTAGGAGATCTGTTTCTGGTAAAGTCACATGGAAGCCCTGTGGAGGAGTCTGGTGAGAGGTGTGTTATGCGCTCAAAGGCAAATGACAAGGACCCACTGTCTAGTGAATGGGTTTGTGCTGGAACAGGCAGAGAGCCTACACAGACCATATAGGAGGAGGCATGATATTGTTTGGTGTCTGTATTAAGCTGAAATAACCCACACACACACCACCTCCACCGCGGGGGTACACCTTTGTCTGCTACACTTTTCAAGAAAGTAGGGCCGGGATCACTAAACCACTCTGGCACACAGACTGTCTCAGTTCTATCCTTAAAGCATTTAGCATGAAAACATTTGACTGGGTTGCTTTTTAAAATGTAAAAGCAATAGATGGACATTTGCACTTGAGCAATAAAACATGGTTCATTTAACTTAAATTTTTCTTTTTTTCCGTTTTACAGAAAGACTTTCCATTAAGGCTGGTGTTACAGATGATGATAATTTTTCCCATATTGTGTGGACCCAGGCAATGAGTAGACTTGCAGTTCTTGTAGGTCGAGCTTTAGAATTTGGAGAACCAATATTACTTGTTGGTGACACTGGGTAAGTGAGATTTTTCCATGTACAATCTTCAGAAATTATGGCTACTAGTAAAAGTGTGCCCGTTCCAGAACAGGAAAGGTTGGGGGAAGTGTCTTAGGGTGCAATATATGCTGGAAAATAACGTGATTGAAATGTCCGTTGGTAGTATGTATGGGGGGGGGCGCAATATTGTAGCGAATAGTATGTGCAGGAGAGGTGTGCAGGTGGCGTGATGGGGGAGGTATGTCCGATAGAGAAGTGCGGAGGGTATGATAGTCGGACAATATATGCAGGAGAGGCGTGTGGAGGGGTAAAACTGCAGACAGTATGAGCAGGAGGTGAGGTTGAAGGGGCATATGATGGGGCTTACAATGTGCAGGAGAACAGTGTGGAGGGTATGACAACCAGCGGAACAGTTTATCTTTGCACTCACAAATGATTGTTACTGATCTTTCCATGAAGAGCTGCAAATTTATAACATATATGGTCATACTAAATATCGGGAGGGAACGTGCTTCCCATAATGAATTTATTTACCCATTTACAAAATTGAATTCAAGTGGCAGCATAAGAGGCAAGCACATAACAAAGGGGGTTTTGCAGAGGAGGATTAGAGATAAAACAAAAATCATGTATTGGAAATTGGCAGCTAAAGTTAAAGCAGGTTATTCTGGGGCAGTGGAGCTGGAACTGCACTCTAACTGCTCACACTCTCCCAAACACCTTAACAGAATTCTGTCTAACTGCTCCAAACACTCCAACACCTCCACTGAGGTGGTTCATAGACTGTTAAATCTGTTGGAAGGACCCACGATAAAACCGCAGGAATGTGTCAGTGGAATTGGGGACAATAGAGGTTGAGGAGACGACTCCAAAATGTAAACAGGTTATTGGCAGGTACGGTGTCGTAGAACAGTGGCTGGGAACATGGCAGATGGGCAGGGTTTTCTTGCCAAGTGGTGGTTATGCCGGAAATGGGGTAGTCTATACTATATTCCCATTATAGTCAGTGGAGATCGAGATGAGACTCCTATTTGGCATAGAGCACTGAATAATTAAGGGATTACCTTAATTGCTCTGGAGACTGGTTGCTGAGGTGTTAACGCACATGCACTGGGCTCATTATATTAATGACACATGTTCAAGGGATAGGTAGCTCAGGGTAAACACACATGTTGGTGACTGGCTGCTGACGGGTAATTGTACATTTCACTGGGTACTGGCATCTGAGAGATTTTTGCACAAGGGCAGGAGAAGGTTCTGAAGAGGTTAAAACGCATATATTGGCTCTGAGTGCTGAGGGGTTAACATAATCAAGTAGGTAGTGGGTGCTGGGGGGATTAATGCACAAGAATAGTTGCTGAAGTAGTTAAAGCACATACACTTGGTGCTGAGTAGTTAATCTGCATAAGCTGGGTACTGGGTTTTGTGAGGGGTAACAATACATGCCTGGTGACTGTGCTCTGGAAAGATAACACACTTGTTCTAGCGACTGGACACCGAGGGGGTCATTGGTCATTCTGTGGTGGCTGATCACTGAATAGTTAATGCACGGATACTGCCAACCGGTCCCTGATGGGTTAACGCACATATACCGCAGACTGGTCACTTATAGTGAAAATGCTCATACACTGCCGGTGTAAAACAAGAGCTCTGTGTAATAGGAGCCACCTTGCTGCTGGGGAGTGAGGTGTGCGCTGGGGGCATGATACATAGGGGGTCCTAGCACATGCAATCCTGGAAAACGCACACTCTAGAGTTACGGGAAAGCAAGGAGTAATGTATGCTGGGGGGCACAGCCTGCTGCTGAACGGAGCTTTACTTTGAGTGCTGAACCTCCAGGCTGTGTTTGAACAATGTGTGCAATGTCTATGGGCAGGGCATGGACGATGTTCAGTTTTCAGCTTGTGTGGGGTGTGTGATGTCACTGGGTCAGGACCAGAAAGAGGCAAATTTGCACAGCAGCAAAATGGGACTCTGACTTCATTATCCTCAGTGAAAGGGTAAAATTGACACTACTGTGCTGAGAAAATGAAACAAACTGAGCTTTTATATAATGAAGGATTTAACAGCCCTGTTTTTTTTGTTTTTTAAGTTGTGGGAAAACCACCATATGCCAGCTATTTGCAGCATTGTCAGACCAAACCTTGTATTCTGTGAACTGTCATCAGCACATGGAGACTTCAGACTTTTTGGGTGGACTACGACCTGTTAGACATAGATCCAAGAGCAAAGTAAGTAAACGGGAACAGATTGTATTAAAGCCCTATGCTGCAGTTTCTCTGGGAGTGACGTTGTATTTGTTGTCTGAAACAGGATGACATGGAAAACACAAAGCTATTTGAGTGGCATGATGGTCCTTTGGTGTTGGCTATGAGAGAAGACAGCTTTTTCTTGATGGATGAAATCTCTTTAGCAGATGATTCTGTTTTAGAGAGGCTGAACAGGTTGGTATCTCATCAAACTTTAAATTATGTGTTAGTGCATTTTTCTAGTAAACCTGAACATCAGTTTTATATATAGTTTTATCATATCTTAGAAATATTTAATTGTCCTGTAACATCGTGACTTTTGGGGAGATTTAGAAGCATTACAAAGTACCGGCCCGCGGGCCAGTTACGGCCCGCGAGCCGGTACTATGTGGCAAGCAGCCTGCTCACAAGTCTGGTACACGGTCACGGGCCGCGTACAAGACTTGCGGGAGCAGCTACACGGTCTGCATCTCTGTTGGATGCATAGCGCATAGCTGCTTCTATGCCGGCACTCCGATCCCTCGGCCGGCGTCTTCGCTAAACGGATTGATTAGATTAGTAATGTCTGCAGCAGACAGTACTAATCGCTACTAGATAAACGTATCGGTGATCGTGGCGCCGCTCACAGCCTCCTCCCTGCAACAAGGTAAGCCGGAGAGGGGGCTGTGTATTTAGCTTACGTGTGCGGTGGGAAGGGGGGG